GCAAAGTTATTTAACTGCTGCTTGAAGGAGAAATTCTTCCCAAACCTGTGGAAAGTGTCAAGTGTATGCTTGTTTTTCAAGAACACAGGTGAGTGCTTATCCCCCTTTTAGTATAGACCCATCAGTCTCCTTGGTATCATTAGTAAACTTTATGAGGCTATAATCAACAAGAAGGTTTGAACACTTAGATAAGAACAGCCTCTTGTATGACAAGCAGTACAAATTTTGATCAGCTTGATCCACTGCTGATGTCCTAACTACCATCACACACAGAATCAGTGAGGCAATGAATAAGTACACCCCAAGGACCATAACATTAGATATTTTAAAAGCATTTGACAAGATGTGACGCAAAGGATTGCAGCTCAAGCTCTCTCGTTGTTGAATCTCTGGAAAAATCTTCTCAATAATAAAGTCCTTCCTAACATGAAGGTAATCAATGGCCTGTTCTTCATGACCCTAACAATCAATGCAGACATCCCTCAGGGATCACTTCTCAGACCAACCCTCTTTTTACTTTACATTAATGATCTGCCTCAAAGTATACTCAGATCATTTGTGAATATCTATGCTGATGACATATGGGTGCAGTTCTAAAACCAATAATGACCAGACATTAGCAACTAATTTCTCATCCAATCTAGCTCTAACATTTCGGTGGGGGAAAAATTGACTGGTTACATTCAGTGCCTCGAAAACATTCCACATCCGAAGTTACATTCCATCATTGCCAATCAAACCCTGAACTACAACTATTCAGAATGAATGGATATCCCCTCAGGAGGCCTATGCCATGAACATCTATTGGGCCTTAAACTCAATCCAGATCTCAAGTGAAATGCATACATATGATCCATCACTAAGGATGCAGAAAAAATGGTCATTTCTCTGTACCAGTCTAGTAAATACCTGACTCTTCATGCTATCCTCTAACTTTACAATGGAGTACTGCTGTCATATCTGGGCAGAAGCTACCTAGTTCTCACTTTCCAATCTCAATAGTTCAAAATTGTCTCCTCATCCATATAGGTGAAAAATTATTTTCCATCCTTCAACACATCTCTTACAGATGGGATGTGGCTTGCCTATTACTTCGATATCACTACTTCTATAGAAAGTATTTGAATAAACTGTATTCCTTGGTTCTGCCAGCTCAAACCTTTATGGCAAAGACCATGTCATGTCACTTCAGGATGATGATGGTTCTCCATCCTGTCCTTTGTAGCTCTTTGTGTTCATTTTTCTATGTGGTATGTCCCTTCAGAACTTTGGTGATCAGGCTCTCCACTATTTCCAGTCCTTTGTAGCTCTTAATAAATTTTGTCTTTTTGTTATCTCTCCTAAGCCTTGTTCCACCATCCATTTACTCCAGCTCATTCTTCTATGTGCCGTGTCCCTTGAGAACTTTGGTGATCAAGGCTCTCCACTATTTCCAGTCCTTTGTAGCTCTTAATAAATTTTGTCTTTTTGTTATCTCTCCTAAGCCTTGTTCCACCATCCATTTACTCCAGCTCATTCTTCTATGTGCCGTGTCCCTTGAGAACTTTGGTGATCAAGGCTCTCCACTATTTCCTGTCCTTTGTAGCTCTTAATAAATTTTGTCTTTTTGTTATCTCTCCTAAGCCTTGTTCCACCATCCATTTACTCCAACTCATTCTTCTATGTGCCGTGTCCCTTAAGAAATTTGGCGATCAAGGCTCTCCACTATTTCCTGTCCTTTGTAGCTCTTAATAAATTTTGCTTTTTTGTCATCTCTCCTAAGCCTTGTTCCACCATCCATTTACTCCAGCTCATTCTTCTATGTGCCGTGTCCCTTAAGAAATTTGGTGATCAAGGCTCTCCACTATTTCATGTCTTTTGTAGCTTTTAATAAATTTTGTCTTTTTGTTATCTCTCCTAAGGCTTAGTAATCATCTGTTGAACCACATTTCAGTTGCTTCAAGTCTCTTCTTCATCTGTGAAGAGATTGTCCAGTATTCACTGCCTTATAGGAGGACTGATATTACATAACAGCTCTTTTCTTTGTTTCTAATGAAATTTTCCTGTTTCTTAATACTCTGCTTAGCTTTTGGAAGTCACTTTTACTATCTGAATGCAACTTCAGATTTCAATGCCACACTTTCTGTCTTCTGTTAAAACACTTTCCAGATGTTTAAATTGTTGTACTTGTTTATTATGGTATTTCCAATTTGTAATTTGCATGGTGGGGTATTCCTTTTGATAATAACTATACATTCTGTTTTCTTACAATTGATGTTTAGTCCTTTATTCTTGCTTTCTTTCATAGGAGTTCTGTAGTTTCCTTTCTATGTCTTCCATCAATACTATGTCATCTGCATATCTTATGTTGCTAAGATTGAAGCCACCAATAATGAATCCTGGTAGGACTTCTAATTCTCTCAGAACTGCCTTGCTGTATAGGTTGAATAAGTTTGGTGAGAAGACACCTCCTTGTCTTACATATCTTTCTATTTTTGTATATTAACTGAATTCATCTTTTCTCCATATGTAGGCATTTTGCTGCCAGTATAGGTTCTGGATTATTCTAATATCCTTCCCAAATATGTTTCCTAGCAGTATCTTCACAAATATATAACTGACCATCTAGCAAGTGAAAGTTATTCTTGCAACCTTTAATAAATCAATTTATTCTGGTTAATGAGAAACTATTTTTTCAATTTCTTTTTTGTGAGGAACATTCTTTTTTATCATTTTTTTTTTTTAAATCAGTTCACTCCAAACAAGGCAATAAAGCCGCTAAGATGCAAGGGGTTACTGAGTTTTAGAGAATATAAGACAAAAAACTACTATTAAGGAGAGAGAACAATAAAAGATCAAGAATTAAGAAAACAGAAGATAATGATTGACATTGCATTTAAATTTTTGAAGATCAAAGTTGACTGGGAAACAAGAAGTCGGAAGTGAGTTCAACCACAAGTAAGAAGTGCAATAGAAGAAACTGTTATCATAGAACTTATGATTATATCTAGTCATTTCAACTGTAAAATTATGATAACTAACTGCCAATCTAGTACATTACTAGTCATAAAATGTTTACCATAGTACCATATTGCTTCCGCTTGTAAATTATTTAAACAATTGTAGTTAAATTGCTTAGTGAGAACTTTATAACCTTTCACTATTGAATGTTTTGTAACAATCTTGATTAAGTCAACTACTTTTATTTTTGGTAAGCTAATGACATTGTATTTAAAATAAATTTTATTTTAATCTTAAATAAATTTTAAAATTATGAAGGAAATTTTGGATTCAATATGCATATATTCATTCATTCTAAGAACCTTCAAGAATGTTTAAGAATAATCTTGCAATAAAATTCTTTAAATTTTTACAAACAATAAATATTAATATTAAAGAAATTAAGTACTTTTTACCATATTTATTGAATATATTTTTTATATAAATATCTCCATTAATTTGGTATATATAAGGTTTAAAATAAATTTTAAATGTAGAAGCTTTCTTGAAGCTTTCATTTTAGCTTTAATTGAAAGCTGAAGGATTTAAAATTTACTATTTCCAGTAAGCAAAATATTCTGTGATGTATTTTAAATAGAAATTATATTAATCAGAATTTTTTTTTTCATTAAAATTTATCAAAATGGACATTTTTGATATATTTGTAAACAAAAGTTAATTCTCAGTTCTAAAAATCTTGCAAAATTAAAATATATATTTCTGAAATATTTGAGGAAAATTAGCAAATTTAAAGTTAAATTAATCTGATTTGAAATAAATATGTCTTACTTATAGCATAAGATGTTGTATACAAACATTTCTTAACTGTGGGGTCTTGTTTTTCTGGCATGTTAATTGATTTATTTACATCTGATTGGCAGCTGAACGTGTTCATAGTTAAGTATGGCAAAGCAGATGATAAAGTTTTTTTTCAACATAAGTGGAAGAAACCCTTAAAACATCTGATCTTTAAATGCTAGATTTATCGGTTTGTAAATCCATACTGCAGAAATTCTGTATGTAATCACACATATAAAACAAATTGAAATTCTTTTAAAAATATTGGGTTTGTCAAATTGTAATAAGCTTTACAATATATGATTAGTAAATATAGTTTTACTTAATATGTTTTCTAAGAATTATCTCACTGAAAATGAATTTTAAAAGATTATAAACTTTGTAAATTATTCAATTTAAAATTGTAAAAAAATGAAAGCAAATCTTGTAAAAATTCATTTTTTGTTGAAAAAATTTTTTTCTTCAGATAATATTGTTTTTAATTATTTTTTTATTATTCATAAAAACAATTAAAAGCTTCTCTAATTAAATAATGTCTTAGTGTTATTGCATTTTTTTATTTTTTGATTCAGAACAGATTTTTGGTGAAATGGGGTATGATTTTACAAAAAGAAATTTGGAGATTTCAATTCTTCAAAGGGTTCTACTTTTAACTAATATAGTAATGAAAAATTATCTTGTTGAATTTCTCAAGTTTTCATAAAATTAAGTAAATGGCTGAAATACATGTAAAAAAATAAATATCATTTCCAAGATTTTCTAATGAAAAATTTCAAAAATAATTTCATTTATTTGTGAATAAGTTCTGAAAATTTCATTAAAATCTGACAATTGTTTGATTTTTGCAAGAATTTCCAAATTAATATCTGTCACTGCAAAAAAGAGGCCAAAATTTGCTATGCTGAAAGTTAGTACAACTGCTGATGCAAGCAAAACAGGTTTTTTAATAAAAATTTTGAATATTCTAAAAAGGAGTAAAAAATTTAATTAAGTAATCAAAAAATACCTTGATCCTTCTTCTTTAATAATAAAGATTTTGATGATAAAACTATGTTTTCATTACATTTAGTGTATGTTTGCATAATGGTATGATGATTTTTTTTACCATTTTTTATAAATGTACTATTTACATTTATTAATATTTGTATTAATTTTAGAAGCTACTTGACTTGAACATCTGAAATGGATATTTTTATTAATGTGTTTCTTTTGCCTACTTACAGCCTTACCTGGAACACAGCAATCCATCATTTTATCCCAGGCTTCCAACTTCCAGATCGAACAAGAACGGAACAATCAACACTAAGAGATCTTTTGGGACACAGGACAGGAATTTGTGGACTTTTTCGTCCACTGCTCTATGGATTTCCTCAAGGAATGAGCCGGAAGGAATTTGTAAAGTAAGTAAAATGAAAGACAATGAATACAGATAAAAAGTAATTTGTGGAATGTTCATTATTTCTTATGGAAAGAAAGGAAACGTTTAGAAAGAGAATGTTAAGTTACGTCAAGGGAGAATGAAATAAGATATTTGGAAATTAATACAAGAACAATTGATAGATTTACAATGGAAATTGATTAAGGTAGTAAAAGAAAAAGGCAGAGAAGAGAGGACAATAAAAGAACAGGATTTAAGAGACCAGAACATAAAGAGTGAAATTGCATTTAAATTTTTGAAGATCAAAGTTAACTAGAAAGCTAGAATCCAAAAGAGAGTTCTACAAGATAACTGTTAGCATAGAACTTCTAGTTACATCTAGCCATTTCATCTGTGAAATGAGACCTAACTTCCCATCTAGTAGTATGTTTAAATTCATAAAGTATACGTACCAAAGAGGAAAGCTTGTGAGAACAATTACCATGAAAATATTTATAGAAAAGGCAAAGAGAAGCTACATTACGGTGATGGGAAAGTGACTGAAGCCGAAATGCCAGGTCAAGACTGTACCAAAGAGGAAAGCTCATCAGAACAATTACCATGAAAGTATTTATAGAAAAGGCAGAGAGAAGCTACATTACGGTGATGGGAAAGTGAGTGAAGCCGAGATGCCAGGTGAAGACTGTACCAAAGAGGAAAGCTCATCAGAACAATTACCATGAAAGTATTTATAGAAAAGGCAGAGAGAAGCTACATTACGGTGATGGGAAAGTGTCTGAAGCTGAGATGCCAGGTGAAGACTGTACCAAAGAGGAAAGATCATCAGAACAATTACCATGAAAGTATTTATAGAAAAGGCAGAGAGAAGCTACATTACGGTGATGGGAAAGTGACTGAAGCCGAGATGCCAGGTCAAGACTGTACCAAAGAGGAAAGCTCATCAGAACAATTACCATGAAAGTATTTATAGAAAAGGCAGAGAGAAGCTATATTACGGTGATGGGAAAGTGACTGAAGCCGAGATGGCAGGTCAAGACTGTACCAAAAAGGAAAGATCATCAGAACAATTACCATGAAAGTATTTATAGAAAAAGCACAGAGAAGCTACATTACGGTGATGGGAAAGTGACTGAAGCCGAGATGCCAGGTAAGCAGATGTTTATAGCACTAAAACTTGAAAGTGAAATAATAATGACACTCGTGATTTTATCTAAGTTTTAAGAGCAGTCAAGAGATTTAGAAAACAGAAGATAAAGAGTGACATTGCATTTAAATTTTTGAAGATCAATGTTAATTAGAAAGCAAGAAGCTGAAAGAGAATTCTACAAGTGAGAAATGTGAGAAAAGAAACAGTCAGCAAAGAATTTATGGTTTCATCTCAGAATTTTAACTGTTAAATGATATTAGACTTATAAATATGTAAGATAGATTCTGGTGAGAAAAATTGTCTAGCAGTTTTTTTTTGTGGGTGGGCATTAAAATTAAAAACCATTTCTTTTTAACAGTTAACAACAGATTATAGGTCATTTTTGAGATCAGCTACCAATTTGACCATATCAAACCGATCAGACTTACCATTAAGACAGGTGTAAATGGTTGTGTTATCAGCATAGATACCAGTTTGACAATTGATGACATTGTGAAGGTCATTGATGAAAATTAGGAACAACGTAAGTTCAAGGATAAAGCTCTGAAGGACACTTGCATTAATGCAAAATGATCTAGAAGAGTGGCCATTCAAGATAACTCTCATTTTGTATTTTAAAAAGACTCAATCTGTTCAAAAATTTGTCCAGAAATACCATAACCATTCAACTTGGGAAAAAGACCAGTTTGCCAAACCCTGCCTTATGCTTTTGAGATATCCACAGCAACAACCAGAGCTTCACCATTCTTATCTAAAGCTTGATATACTCTTTAAGCAATAATCGTTATTATATCAGCAGTTTTTTTTTTTTTTTAAGCATTTCACCCCAAGCAAGGCGAGAAGCAACTAGGGCGCAAGGGGTTACAGAAAATTTAGAACAAGATCAGATAGGAGTGATAGAAGAAAGGATGAGGAGAAGGGTAGTGGATAGATCAAGGCAACTGGAGATGTCAATTGACATTACATTTGAATAGCTGGAGATTATAGCTCTCAGGGAAACTAGAATAGGGAAGGGAGTTCCACATGCAAGAGGTGCAAGACATGAAGCTATTAGAGTAGAAGAGACGGCTACATTTAGGAGTTTCAACAGTGAAGGGGTGAGAGTGGGATGCCAGCCTCGTCGGGCACTTGAACTCATGAAGTCTGGGAACCAGCGAATGCAGCTCCTCGGAGCAATTGCCATGAAAGTATTTGTAAAACAGACAGAGAGAGGCAACGGCACATCTGTGAGAAAGTGTCTGTAGACAAGATGCCAGATCAGGGCCAGTTATATTGCATATCCGCCTCTGGATCCTATCAAGAACCCCGAGGCAAAAAGAAGGGGCTCCAGATCATATATGGCAGCAATACTCTATGCAAGGGCGAATTGTTGATTCGTAGATCTGGAGGATCGATTCCAGGGAGAAAAATTTCCTGGCGCGGCACAGGAAGCCAACTTTCCTTGCGGTGGACAAAGCAATTGACTCAATGTATTTGTTCCATCTCAGGTCAGCCGTCAACGTGAGACCGAGCAGCCGCAGAGAGTTGCTCTCAAGAAGTTGAAAGTCAGACATTCTAATGGAGTGCAGCGAAGGATCTCTATGGTGATTAATAGAGAGCAGTTTTGTTTTTGAAGCATTAAAGTTGGCCAGCCAATTCCTGCCCCAGTTCACAACCGATTGGAGGTCCTTTTCGAGACGCATGGCCAGGTTATTGTTGTCACTGACACTAGATTTGTTTTTGAGGCAGGAATAAATTGTGGTGTCATCCGCGTAGATGCCAACTGGGGAATTTATGGCGTCAGGAAGGTCATTTATGTAGATAAGGAATAGAGTGAGGCCTAGGATGGAGCCTTGAGGAACACCTGCGTTCGTAAGATAGGAACTGGAGGAGAATCCATTGAGAACGACCTTCAATTTGACATAGAAATGGGTATTGGAATCTTTATTAGATAACTGGGATTACAATAACTAAATGTGTAGCCATGTTAAAGGATTTGGATTTTTTTTTAAATTAGTAGGATGCTCTAAGACTTAAACATTGGTGATATCATACATGATGTACTGTAAAGTATTTGCTTGTTATGAAAAGTTATTCAAAATCTATCCTTAAAATATCACTAAAAAGCCATTATCAGCATTTTATGTCTAAATTTCTGGAATGTGGAGTTATCATCACTTACATTATTTACATGCAAACTATTGTCCTCATCTTTGCTATTGTTATCACAACATTTTGGCCATTATACTTTCTGACTTTCATTGAGAGATTGTTGATCTGGGTAACTTTTGGGGAATTTCAAGCTGAAACCTTTATTTAATCAGCATAGGTAGATTATTCTAGTTCCACTGTCCATGTCTAGGGATATCTGGTCGTCTTATTTAGTACTGCTCACTTATTGCTTGCCCCGTTTCCACTGGGTCTAAGTCTATACTATCCTGCCTAGGGATTGAGTTCATGATTACTATGTTATCATTATTTATATTCAGACTAATGTCCTCATCATCACAGTGCTTTGCCCATTGTGCTCTCCAACCTACTTCAGGTGTCTGTCAATCCAGGTAAGCTTCAGGGAATTTTAACCTGAACTCTTTATTTAATCTGCACAGGTAGATTGTTCTTTTTCCACTGTCCATGTTTAGGGATATCTCTCCTTGTTCTTATTTAGTACTGTTCAGTTATTGCTCACCCTGATTCCACTGAATTTAAGCCTACACTATCCTGCCTAGAGATTGAGTTCACGATTACAATGTTATCATTATTTATATTTAGACTAATGTCCTCATCATCACAATGTTTTGCACATTGTGCTCTCCAACCTTCTTCAGGTATCTTTCAATCCAGGTAAGCTTCAGGGAATTTTGAACTGAACCCTTTATTTAATCTGCACAGGTAGATTGTTCTTGTTCTATTGTCCATGTCTAGGGATATCTAGTCTTCTTATTTAGTACTGCTCAGTTATTGCTTGCCCTGTTTCCACTGAGTCTAAATCTTCACTATCCTGCCTTCACGATTACTATGTTATCATTATTTATATTCAGACTATTGTCCTCATTATCATAGTGCTTTGTCCATTGTGCTCTCCAACCTTCTTCAGGTGTCTGTCAATCCAGGTAAACTTCAGGTAATTTTGAACTGAATCCTTTATTTAATCTACAGTCCATATCCAGTGTTATAGAGATCTTATTTAGTACTGATCAATTATTGCTTGTCCAGTTTCTGCTGAGTTCAAGTATATACAGCTTGGCCCAGGGATTGAACTCACAATTACTATATAACCAAATTTATAAACCAATGCTTTAATCATCTATCGTTCCATGATATAACAGCTGAAATGTGATAACAACAAGAAAGATGGGGATAATAATATCAATATATTATTATGTTTTAATATAAAAGAAATGGAAATTCATGTTGTAAGAAAAACATTTTTGTCTTCCCTATAAACACTCTTTCCCTATAACCAGATTTCTTTTTGTTCCTATAATTTCAAATTTCTATTTGTTTCTATATCTATTTGTGCTTATATCTTCAACTTTTTGTTGTAATAAGCATAAATTTCTGTCATATAAATTTCTGTCTGTTCCTAAATCTTTAAATTTCAGTTTGTTTCTACAACTTAAAATATTGTAATATCTTAAAATATAACCTTGGCACTAATACCAACTAAGCTTGGTATGATTAATTACATTCTTGTATTTCCATTTCAAAACTGAAATCTTTCTCAGTCTGTATAATAGAAAATACAGTAAGATTAATCCTTTTTATTTAAATGACTATACTTGATAAGTTAGTAAGAATGGTAATCTTTCTATCTGAATTTTTGTTATTATTTATATTATTTACATTCAGACTATTGTCCTCATTTTGTTATTATTATCACAACATTTCAGCCA